ATCGCTTTGGCCACATTCCTAAGAACGAGTCCAGACTCGGAGTGAGGGCCCAAAAATGTAAACAATAGCAGATACCCCTACCTATGATGAGGTTCACCGGATCGTTCATGACGTGACATCGTATGAAGCGTATGCTGAAGGCCAGGCCGGGGATGGTGTTGCTGTTGTTAGAGAAACCAGATCATGAATTGAAAGCATGTGAGTTTTCGCACCACGAAACGGAGCTCGTCCACGATCGAGTAAAGAATGCACCGTGGCGAGCTGAGTGCAAGGAAGAGTCATAATTCTTAGTAATATTTTCTCACATAGCGGACGAGCTCATGATGCACACAATCAAAACTGAAAACAAACTCAGAACAGTTCTGACCATGATTAATCAATAATTAAGTAGATGGAACATACCTCATAACATCGGTTGAACCTCTTTGGATCTTGGAGGGTGTCAGCGGCGAGAATCAAGTAAGCAAGGAATAGGAACTCCATTTGGACACGTAAGCTCCCTTGGGAAAGCTGGTCGGAATGCTGCAGACGCGAAGTGGCATTGAACCATCCAAATGAGTACTATAATACATCCCAGTAGCAAGCGGGCGCAAAGCTATCCAAAGCAAGAAACAAGGGGTCCATGAAAGCAACACCTGCGATACGCCACAGTCAGGTCGAGCTTTAAAACAAGAGTCGATGGACGTACTGTACCAATCAAACAAACGCCTCCATAGACTTGGCGATGTCCGCAGCCTTGAGCCTCTCTCCCGGTTGTTGCGCCCAGGACGCTTCCACCACGGCCCACATGCGATCCGACATCGGAGTGTCGAATGGTGTCGACGGTCTAGGTGGCCGTTTTCCATCCAACACCTTCATGCTAATCTTGAACGCTGTCATCTTGGGTCCCGCGAATGGCATCTTTCCTGTGTATAACTGCATCGAAGGGGCATCAGCGTCGTCGGTCCAGTGTGAACACGAAGAGAGTACGTACCTCGATGCACGTACATCCGAACCCGTAAGCATCTGTGGCGGGGGTGTACCTTGCATGAGTCAGACCAAACTCGTCGGGATCCCATAGCTCCGGTGCCATGAAGTGTTGTGCGGCGCCACCATGCTTTGAGCCGTACGCCCCCGCCGTCGCTTCCGCAATCACTGAGAAGCCAAAATCGGTGAGCAGCGCGTGGTCATCCGCGTCGATAAGAATGTTTCCCTGCGATATTGACCACCAAAGTAAGTACTTTCGATGCAAGAATGACGCTAATAACAACTCAAGACTCACTCCATGTAAGTCGCCATGAACGACTCCGTGGTCGTGCAGATACGCCAGACCAAGGGCAACCTCGTATAGCTAGTGCGCATATCCATTGAGCACAAAAGATATGAGCGTTTCACATCCTTGAGACTCACCCATCTATTCACATGAGCCTCGAAAGTCGTGCTTGTCAACTGTTTTCCTGGATCCGTAGTCGATATTCGGCGCCGAATATTCCCAGCTTCCATCAGCGGGAGGATCATGCATATCATGCCTCTCGAGAAGACATCCTTGGAAACCCCAATGAAAGGGAGCACATGCTTGTGTTGCAGTTTACTCCAGAGAAGCGATTCACGACAGAACTCCTAGTAACACGCAAACACACAACTATCAGGTTTCCTAACGGCATCGAAAAAAAAATCGGCTTCAACCGAACGGAGTAAGCATACCATCATCACTTTGTCCTTCATTCTCGGGTTTGGAATTCGTGGTCGTTTGAGGATGACGAGCCTGCCGTTGTATTGACCTTGGAGGATATCGGCGTAGGCACCGGCGTCCACAGCTTCGAGGTTCAGGCACACCACGTCCTCGACGTAGAAACTGGTCGGAAGCACGTCATGTGTTGCGGCCAGCTTCAGACAGAGCTTCCTGAGGAGCGCAGACTGGGAGCTCGGTGTGAGCGTTGGGTGTATTAGGTTGGTCTTGTCGTCCAGCCTCTGTATTGCCTCGGGATCAGCTTTCCCAGATCTTGTTCGATAACAGATTCCTCGTACCTCCCAGGCTGTATCAATCACACTTTGTACTTTCTCCTTCGGAATGTGTGTGATCACTGTCTGCTTCGTTGGGTCCGCAGGGATGGCATCTCGAAGGAACGCGTTGATCTGTTTCGAGGTCATGATAACTCCGTGCACAGACTGAAAGACTTGAGTGAGGCTCAGATTGGCGCCACCAATGTCAACAACATTACTAGTAAGGTGCTCACAGAGTCTTCACTACTTAAACCCTGGTCGTTTTGCCGTTCTCCGAATGCACAGTAGATCCAGTGACAGATTGGGACGAAGCGCTTATAAGTTACTGGGAACTTTAACCTTTCGTTCTCGGTGTGAGAGGAATGTCGTGCGTCTTTACTTCCCACCAGAGAAATTCCTTGAACGTTGCAGTGGAAGTATTGTTTCTGGGTTGCTACGTTCTGTGATTACAGACGCAGACAACACGGGTGATATTAGACTTGCAGGTCGAGAGGGAAAATCGAGGTTTTGGGAGTGTGACACCAGTTCGGGGAAGCCTGGGGTACCGCAAGCACTGATTCTGAGCCACAGATCACGGGAGTGACCCAGAGGGAAGGCGGTGGAGTGGGATGTGGTGATACAGCATTATTATAAGAGAACGTTTGGGAGAAGTTTACATGAATCATGCAAATAGCAAATGGCGGAGGACCAGCGACGCAGTCACGCGTTACGGTAATCGGCGACAGTAACGCGTGACAACTGCATGGTATGTGCGACAATATCAATAGCAAGAGTATTAATCCTCCCACATCCCTCATTCTGACAGTAGTTATCCGCTAAAGCTCAGGCTTTAAATATCCTCAACAACCTTGACTCCGTCAGTATCCTCGTCCGACACAAAGGACACTCCTTCGTGCTCTGCATGACAAGATCAGAGCACGCTCTACACAACGCCATATGTCTACACAATTCCATGTCAACCGCCATTCGCACGCGCATTAGAGAAGGTGTAGGGGAGGACTCACCCGCAGTCTACGATAGCGATGTTCGCTTCTTCGTCTTGACAAATCACACAAAGACCCGTACGCTCGAGATGTGATGCGAGCCCTTTCGCATGGGCCTTGCTGCTCGCGCTCGCAGGTGGTGGTTTCGGTTTCTCCTCGCTCGACGGTGGTACCGGCGCAATCGCTCCCTCATCATCATGGCTCCCCCCACCCCCTTCCCCATCATCACCCTCATCGTCTTCACCACCCCCATTATCCCCCTCCTCTTGCCTTCTCTCCCTCCTCTCCGCCCTCTCTCTCATCGCCCACATCTCCATCTCCTCCTCCTCCGCCCTCCTAATCGCCTCCGCCCTCTCCACCCTCTCGTCCTCCACCAACGTCTTCACCCGCCCCACCAAATCCCCCTTCTCCAACACCCCGCCCACGTTCACGTGGTTCCTGAACAACACCGCCTTCAACACCCCAATGGACAACCCCGATATCTGATCGGGCGTCATGTCGAGCAGGGCGTCGAGGGTAGGAGGTTGTGGGGTGTTTGAGGCAGGGGAGGGGGTAGGGGAGGTGGTGCGAGAAGCTTGGTTACTGCGAGGGAGAGACGTGGATCGGGGACGAGGGGTGTCGTTCGCGTTGGGATGCAGATTCGCAGAAGCCTGTGCTGCTGCGCCAGTCCGTGAGGTAAAGTGCGGCATACCTGGGGGTGGTCCTGGGGGCGGATAAAACCCCGTTGGCCGTGGCGCATACTGGGTAGTACGAGGCGGGGTGGTGTATCCGTAATTGGAGGATGGGCGTGGTTGCTGCTGTGATTGAGGCTGAGGCGGCGGTGGCGGCGGTGGCGGCGGGTGTGGTGGGGGTTGGTATTGCGGCGGATCTGGCTCGAGGTCTGGACGAGCGAATGAGAACGAGGAAGGTTGGGATGCGGTACGCGCTCGTGGTTGTTGTTGTCCCGGTCGTTGTTGCTGACTTGGACCCGCATGTCCGCCTCCGCGAGAGAAGAATCCTCGTCGTGGTTCTGACTGGTCAGGTACGGAGTTGGCGCGGTAGTATCTCTGGTTGACGCAGAAGATGAGGTAGATTGGAGAGAATGTACACACAACACTTACTTCAAATTCAGGTTTGAGAGATCCATTCGCCTTGAAGGCTCATGAGTATACGCGGTTGAAACGGTCGGAACGGCACTCACTCGTGCTGATATCAGCCTGTCAACCAGATCGTCCTTCTCCACAACATTGTTGACTGGTATATGATACGCCCCAGCATATTCCTTCAGCACAGCAAGCGACAACTTCTTCAGTTGGTCCTTGCTCTTAGCGGTAACTAGATGCAATCAGGTGTTTCATTCCAATGAGCGGGGTATACAAAACATACTGTTCAGGTATTTTACGCAATATGCGCACACTTGCACGATATCGTAGCCTGGGCCGGGGGCGGCAGCGTAGTAGTGATCCTCTATACCCGCTGAACGGGGCATCAGGGCGGTATAGTCGGTACATGTGTGGCAATAGGTGTAGCCTGAGCTAGTGCGATTAGATCCGAGTGATCGAACGGTGCATGAATACAATGAGGACGCACCGCAATGATTACATTTCCGTCCCCTTGAGAAGATCGCGTTCAAGCCCTTGCTGCACTTCCTGCAGCTGCTATCGCTGGCGTCGGGATGTTCTGGAGGCGGACCACTGAGGAGCGGGAGGCCTGCGTGTGGGCCTGCCGTTGCCTGCCCAGACATGGGGGTCGATGGGCAAGTGGCAAGTGGCGAGGGGATGCTGCTGCTGCTTCGACGCTGACAAACGGCGGACCTGGAGAGTAATTTCTAGCACTTTCTAGAAGGGATGTGCGTGATCGCCTCTGGGCGAGTGATGGATGACTGGGATGGACGTGGTCTGTGGACAAGAGCAGTCTATTTGTACTTCTACCTCGTAGATAGTCGTCCTCGACTTGGACCACCTCCCTTGGAAGCTTTCCGAGGACAGCTCTGGCCAGGATGAGCATGCGGAGTAGAAACGGAGACTTGTACAAACCAGACCGATCGTCTGATATGTCTCTGTGGCTCAGTGGTAGAGCATGCGATTGCAACGAGCTCACAGCTTGTAACCATCGCAGGGTCCCGTGTTCGAACCACGGCAGGGACTGCTTTTTATGTTGCTTTGGTTTCCTCAGTTACAATAACATTTTCGTAACCTACAGTCTGGTTTCTATGTGATCATTTTCAGGTCAGTCGTCACCGACGTATACACGACGAGGATCATGAGCCACGTATCACGAAGCGCCCAAAGGTGGCTGAGAGAGTTGTGGTAATTTCGGGCGGCAACCTCTTACCACCTTCAATCCACCATGCACTTCCTCTCGACGTGCTTGTTGTCTTTACTGGCAATTAGCAATGTCTACGCAGCTTCCCTGACCTTGCAGTCCCCTCGTTTCACAATCTCTTCACCCGACGCGACTCAGCTGCGCTCCGAGCCGTACGTGTCGCGTGTTCACACACCACTAGAACACAACACTGAATGTCTGTTTTTGCTCTGAAGGTTATCGACGACCAAAAAACCTTCACCGTTGGTTCTGGGTGCGAAAGATGTCCTGAAGCTCACTTTCCAAGTTGTGGAGGAGGAGGGCAAGGGCGTGCAGCCTCACCAGACTTTCCTGCGTTTCTACGACGAGGTCTCTGGCGAGGAGGGTATCCAACCAGTGAGGGTCACAACCGGAGGAAAAGCCAAATTCGAACTGGTGCGCTTTGCTTTCTCTCCTGTTCTTCAAACTATACTCACCACGACCACGACCGATACAGAACATGGCAAAACCCCCGGCATCCCTCCCACCCACAACCTCCACCGACCCACTCAAAGTCACCCTCATCATCGGTTCCTTCACGCATGACCCCTTCAAAGTCGACCTCTTCGATCTCTTTCTCCCCGCGTCTCAACCAGCCCCGCAACACCCTGACGAACCCTCCTTCCACTCACTCCCTGAGATCCACCACACCTTCCGCGCAGACCCCAAACTCCCGCCAAAATTCATCTCCGCTGCGTTTGCAGGGCTGGTTCTCGCGCCTTGGGTTGTCTTGCTCGGCTTGGTGAGCTGTTTCCTCTCGTGTCTTCATGTTCGACTTTACTGACACGAAGCCGTCTCTGTGCAGTGGGGTGCGATTCGGCCTACAGTCCCACACCTCTTCTCACCGAACATCCTTCCGTTCTTGGCTACCCTCAGTGCCTTCGAAGGCCTGCTGTTCTGGTACTGGGTGGACTTGAAGCTCGGCCAAGTGTTGCTGTACGGCGGGATCCTCACCGTCCCGACTTTGGTTGCCGGAAAGCAGGCGTTGTCAACGATGGGCAAGTGGAGGACTGGCAGGAAGTAGACATTTTTTTGTTCTCAACATACTTGCCGTACAAAAGTTGGAGGAATAGAAATGGTTTTCCTGCTTCGTCAGCGTCTCACAGAAATTGCTCATAGGTCCCCGGGTTTTCTGTCTATGAAGGTCACTCACTGGCCGTCAGATATTGAGCTTCGTTTGAGCATGAGACTTATGTTACTAATTCCTTCTCTCATTCTCAGCGTAGCTCAAAACTCATTCAGATCCCGCAAGTGAAGGGTTGAATAAATTATGGGGACAGGTTTACAATGTAAGTCCATGAACAAGCCCTTTGAAGAGATTGTCCGCATCTAACATAAATGATGAAGTCATGCAGAACCCAAACGACATAGCGCAGAACAGCAATATAACAACCAACTTCACCGTCTCAAGAGCGTACGGGGCGACTCCAAGTTGCCATGTTCCCCGCTCGCACCTTTCGCAAGCCACCGCTAATTTCGACCCATCCTTCAACGCACACAGCAACACCTTCAACGCCCTGATCTCCTCGTCGGACTTCACGGCACCACGCTGCAAGAGCTGCACGTTCTTCATGTCCCGCTCGTAGATCCCCATCAGCTCGCGCAATTGCCATCGCAACTCCTCGGTAGCTGCTCGCACGTCCTTTCCCTCTTCTTCCTTCTCGTTCTTGCCACGCCGCGACGAAGTGGGATCCGGTACTGACGGCAGTGCGACTGTCTTCGTATCACCTCGCTCCGGACCGAGCCCGGTCATGTTCTTCCTTGGACCGACAAGTCTAAGTCGTTTGCCCCGAGCAAACCCAACCTGCGCTCTCCTGCCTCTGACTCTGGAGAGCCTCACCGTCTCCTTCCCCTCCTCTTCCACCCTCACCCCTGCAACCGAAGAAACGTCACATTCCCTCCTCCGCTCCCCATCCTCCTCCTGCCTCCTCTTCGCGTCCCTCTCGTACGTCTCCATGACAGCGCACAACTGCGCAGACACCTCCTTGAACATCCCCTCCCACCGCCGTCCGTCCTCTTGCAGTCCCTTCACCCGCCCTTGGATGTTTTCCACGAGACTCATGATTCCTGAGACGCTGAGCTCTGACGTCCCGTTCGAAGCGTTGGAGACCGGATCCGGACTGGCACGTGCAGCAGACGAGGAGGAGGAGATCGCGTCGTCCGAGTTCGAGGGACTCTGCGAGTCGGGTGTGACGTCCACAGTGCTTGAATTGTCATTGTCCTGAGAAGGGTTTTGTGGTCAGAGGATCGACGAAAAGAGAAAAAAAAAAGTCACAAAACAACAACAACAAAAAACCAAAAACACATAGAAAGAAAGAAAGACAGACACATACCTTTCCTCTCGGTTTCGAACCGCCCGCCCGAACCGTCCGTGGGCGATAAGTTTCTAGATGTTTCCCTAACCCCTGCCTCGCCATCCCGTCCCAACCAAACCGTGGTCCGTTCCCATCTCGAATAGACGGGAACAGCGGCGGGCCCATCCTTCTTCTTCTGATGATTGTCTGAGCAGGAGAAGGGGTTCAGTCACGGTGCTCGGGTGGGGGCGTGTGCGTGGTCACTGGTGTGTCGGAAGGACTAGTGCTGGGAGGTACGAGATGCGAGCAGAAGCGAGCGGACGAACCCTTCGAGTTTTATATTGGAGGACAACAAACTTACGGGGTTCACCCCACCACAGGTTCACTCCGTGGCTTTGTGTTGGTGTGGTTGAAAGGCTGCGTGAGGCCACTACCTCACCGGAGAAGCGTGTCGTGTTCCGCGTGGCCCCCGCGATTTTCCACCTCGTGCTGGTGACTACGTACGTACCCCAACAGACTCTTGGCGGTATAGTTTGACTTTCGGAGTCGGGAAGGATTTGGGATGGTTGAAATATAACGACTGCTTAGGGTCGGTAGCATGGTGCTGGCAAATTTTCTGACGCCTCAGGATTCGGAGGATTGGCGTCCTGTCTTGCAGTAAGTGCTAGGAGATTACTCGTCAAGTTAATTCCCTGATATTCCGTTCACTGAAGATCAGGATTATCGCAACGTCAAGCCATGCATACCTACCAATCCGAGCTCCCGAGTCGTCTGGCCCATCCAACTGTTACTCATTTCTTGATTGGCAGACTCTACCTAGTGTTCGGTCCAATCCCTTCACCGAGTCATGTCGCATCATTGACAACGACAAGAGCGAACGCAAGTAAACGACACCACGGGGTCCTTCCAATGTTGAACAGGTTGTTTTCCCTCCGAGATCTGGGTATACACGACCTAGCAAACAAACCCCCCGGTGCAGGATCATAACAACAAAACGAACCGACAGTCAATACCCCAACATTCCAAGGACATAAATACCGGATAACTCAGGCGTTACGGGGGAAGTGCCACATAGGCCCGGGCTTGGTATCGTGACTTCGAATATCGTACACAACGCGCAGTATACTCTCAACACCACCTTCTGTTCTGTGATACGATAAATACACGATAAAACCTGAAACAAGTCCTGTACTTCCTCACACCCACAACCTCCCCACCCACCCACTCCCCTCTATACGGAGTACAACAACACCCCCCCCCCCCCCCCCCCCACCTCCCACCTCCCAACTCAAAAACTCAAACCAGACCCCTCAAACCCCACCACCCCGCACCCGGACCCTCCCCTCCAAAACCGGCTCGACGCTCACCTGTGGCAACGTCCCGCTCTGGGACCTGAACGGCTGCGAAGACGACGGGCGCGGGACTCCCTTGGGGCTCGGGAACGCGCCGCTGCCGTACGAAGGTTTGGCGGTGGGCGCTTTGAATGGGTGTGCTTCGGTGTTGAATACCCCTGTGTGTGGGGGTTAGTTTGGGGTTGTGTGAAAAGAGGGGGGGGGGGGTGGGGAGAGAGAGGAAAGGAGAGGGAAGGGAGAGAAAGGACGTACATTCGTCAAGACTGATATGCTCAGGATCATCAAACGTCAAATACAAATACTTCAACACCTCCGCGAACCAAAAACTCTCCATATCATCAATAAACCCCTCCCCCGTATCCTCCACATTCCAAAGCCCCGCGAACCCAACCCCTTCCTCCTTCGGCACCTTCAGGAACCTCTCGAAACTCGCTGTCGCCGCCGCCGCGCGTTCCAAGAACTTCACGTCCCCCGTCACGCGCCACGCGTAGAAGTTCGATTCGAGGACTTCGGGGCGCAGGAGGTAGAATTCGGATCCGGGGAAGAGGAAGAACCCGTGTTGGGAGTAGAAGGCGAGGTCGGAGGCGGTTGGGTTCGCACCGGTGAAGTTCCCGTCGGAGGAGAAGAACCCGAAGGCTTCCATCCCGATGCCCGTGCTGTGTGTTTCGCGTCAGTTAGTCGTCACTCACGGAGGAGGAAGGGTACGGGTTAACTGGGGGAGGGGAGGGGGATCACGTACGTTGTACTGGCGTAAGTGTTCCAACAAGCGTCCGCGAGCCTGAGGCCGAAGTCGACGATGGACTGGTTGTTCATGAGTTTACCGCCGAAGAGCCAGTTCCCGGCGTGGAAACAGGCCAAGTGGGACGAGATGTGTCGGATGGTGCCGTCGTCGTCTTGGTCTGCGAGGTACAGGTGGTTGCCCACAGTCGACGTCTAAAAAGAAAAAAAAAATCCATGAGTTCAGTGTTGGTCTTTCGGTAGAAACTTGAAAGTGGTGAAGAGATTGGTGACGCACCCGTGCAAGGACGCGCATCGAGGTGTCAACAGCCGTAGCCCAGGTATCCGCAAAGAGGTCATCGTTGATGTTAGTGAGACGCGGGTACTTGATAAGATATTCAAAGTAACTATCCGAGCCTCCTCCCCATGTCTGTTTATGCC